TCTTCCTCAAGCTTAATACTTATTTCTTTTTTCTGTTCAGGGTTCTTCAGTTTTGAGGTCTCTTTTTCTTCTCACTGTTTTCTTTTTGACTTTAAGAAATCTTTTTAAACTAAAATCCATCATAACTGGATTGTGATCGCTATATATATTAGCTCCAGGGTATGTTTTTGTAGATTGTATGTACTTCTTAAAGGTGTTATTGAGCAAAATTAAGACAATTTTATTTCTAACAATTATGTCTTTTCTGTCTGCAGGTGATTTCCATCTGTTGTTCTTCGTGCCTTCTAGGATGTTGTTTGAAGAAGGTATTAGTTTTTAACAGATTGTTTTCTACGCAAAATTGTACAAGTCTATCTCCTCTATTATTCCTGGTTCCTAGACCGTATGCTCCTATGTGGTCTCGTTCAGCATCACACCAATTTTAGCGTTAAAGTCAACCATGATCATCGTTATCTTACCTCTTTTTGTCAGTCGCATTATTTCATCTATGTTGTTATAAAATTTTTCGATTTCTTCGTCTGACTTGTCACTTGTTGGAGCATAGACCTGAATAGTATTTAGTTTTCTGTGAGTTGTTTGTAATTTTAACTTTGAGACTCTATCATTTAGAGGGATGAAGTCTGTGACTGATTGATTAATTTTGTTCGACACTAATATAGCAGTTCCATATTGATGTTCTGGGTCGGTTCCACCTGAATAATATATGTATCCATGTGTTGTTTTTTGTACTCTTACTTCACTCATCCCCAAGATGTCTATTTTCAGTCTTATCATCTCGACTTCAGTGTTTGCCAGTTTCCCGGACATAAATAAGCTGCGTACGTTCCAGGTGGCAATGCGTACTATTCGGTCGTATATTTGTATTCTTAGTCCACTTTCTTGGATAGTTAACGGGGGGATTCTTCGCACCCTCTCCCCATTTATGGGGTGCCCCGGACTAAGGGCCATTTTCTTTTTCTCGTCTGCAATTTAGATTTGTAGAAAATATAATGGGGTGGTGTTCCCGTTGCCTTTCCCATTACAGTACCACAACCATTTAAACTGCTACAGTCATGCTTGTGATAATCCAGTTTCAAGCCGGCCCAGGATCATTTCCTCTACGCCTTGAACTGGTACTGATGATCGCTGCTGCCCTTCATCAGGGAGGGATAGGAAGTAGAAAACTAGATTTTAGATAAGGGAATGGGACATGATTTCTCTCAGTAAGGAGTTGAGAGCAAAGCATGGCTCGCGTGGGCAGGGACGCTTCCATGAAGTAGACCTATTTTCCACTAGGATCGTAGAAAAGTGTCTACCCGCTACCAACAAAAAATACTTGTATATAACAAATACAATCAATACAGGATGATCCATTAAGAATGTCCAATCTCTGTACATTCTCTCTCTGTCAATACTCTCTGCTAGAGAGTGGTTGGTTGCCTACACTAAAAAGGGTCTCCCAAGCACTACCAATAGTATAGAAAAGAAGAAATTGAAATATTAGAAATAAAGATTAAAACTGAAAACAAAGTATGCAAACTAACCAACAGTGGGAGGTGTTAAAATATACAACTGTGGAAATGGTATATCTGTTGTAGGCAAGTATGAAATTCAGGCATTCTAGCAAAAGCCTAGTCATTTTCGTAATGACTTGGCAGTTTGTATAACGTTTTCTTCTTCTTCTTAATGTGCCCTATCAAGTCCCCTTGACGTTGGCGATTAACATGGCGAAACTGTCTCTGTCTCGAGCTATTCTAAAGAGTTGCTCAGCTTTCCTTATTCCTGTCCATTCCCTGATATTCTTCAACCAAGAGGCCTGCTTTCTACCAATTTCTCTGCGTCCTTCGAATTTACCCATCATAATAAGTTGAATAATATTATATCGGTCTCCCCTTACTACGTGTCCAAAATAGACCATCTTTCTACATTTGATGTTATCAAGCAGCTCGCGAGCAACATTTGCTCTCAGTGCTCATAACGTTTTCATTTTTACGAAATGACTTCACCCTTTAGGCATTTGCGAAACTACTAGAATTTGCAATTTAGGCGCAGATCATATAATATAAAAAAATTTTAATAACCTAATTTTTTTAACCTTAGTTTTCCAATTTCCATGATAACAGATTACAGCAGCGTTTACAAAAGTTTACGTTTACAAGACTTGTGTACTATTAGGTCACATTATAGATATTAGACATGGCTAATCGGGAAAAATTCTATGAAGAATTATATACATTTTACGGCTTTTTAAAGCTATTTAGTTTGCTGCAACAAATAAAAAAATTTCAATCGAGCATTACTACCTATTTTAATGCAACGAGTTGCAATATAATCCCTAGAAATCTAAAAGAATTTAGAATTTTCGTCAACTTACTAGAGTAAAATTTATGTAATTCTTCATAGAATTTTTCCCGATTAGCCATGTCTAATATCTGTAATGTGACCTAATCGTACACTTAGACTGTAAATGTAAACTTTTGAAAACGCTGCTCTAATCTGTAATCTTGGAAATTGGAAAACTAGGGTTAGCCTAAATTGCAACATTATTTCAAAATAGAATTACCGTTTCCGGTAGTTTCGCAAATGACTAAAAGGTGAAGTCATTTCGTAAAAATGAAAACATTATACAAACTGCTAAGTCATTACGAAAATGACTAGGTTTTTGCAAGAAGGCCTGCATTTCATACTTGCCTACGACATATCTAAATTACAAAAAGATATGGAGAGTGTAATTTACGCCAACTGTAAATCAATTGATCACGAACAAGGTTGTTTAGCAAGTTGTTGATGATTGAAATATTAAATATTATAATTAAATTTTAATCAAAGTATGAAATAAATACGGGCAGATAGGTCAGATAGCTCAGCGGGCTGTGCGGCTGCCTCTCATTCGCTTCACTGTCGAATGGTTCAGTGGATGTGGGATCGAGCCCCAGCTCGGTGTACAGAAAACAAAAAGTCTAACGCAGCAGTTTAAAATTCTAGACGAATCTGTGGCTTAGACTAGAATATACTGGGATCTGATCGGCCTATGGTGGAGCAGTACGGCAAGAGATAAGGGCTTGCGTCTCGGTGATACTCAGCCATAGATTCCTACCGGACGGGCGTAACGCCTAAAAAACCGGATATATATATATATATATATATATATATATATATATATATATATATATATATATATATATATATATATATGAAATCAATAAATAGCCTCAGTGTAGAAAATTCAAACAGTCGAGCTGGGTCCCCTACGAGGTGAAGCTGCAATAAAATTTTTAAAAATTGGTTTAAATTTGGTACAATTTAAATTAATTTGACTATTAAGATAGTGAGAGTTTTCATTTGTTTCCTTTGTAATTTTCAAATCTTTTAATAAGTCCAACTAAAAGTATTTTTTCTTCCTACTTATGTCATGTAAAATAGATAAACCTGTATTGATATTGAAATTATGTTTATTGGACAGTAAGTGGTAACCAAACCTTAAGAGTTTGGTCTGTTCAAATGTTCTGTAATTCTAGTCGACAACTTCCGAATGGTTCTACGTACATAAGAGGCATCGCAGTCATCACATCTCAGTTTATATATACCACTCTTATTCAGAATGTTCATCCTGTCCTTGGTGTTAATTATAAAGGAACCTAAAGTGTTGTGTGACTTAAAATATATTTTGACATCCTCAATTGTAGAAGTAAATAGTTTTGATATTTTGTTGGAAATATTACTGATATAAGTAAAGGAGAAAAACCTGATGTTATTTGTGGCATAAGAATGAAGCAAGAATTATGATGAATCATCAAGCTTTTCTGCAAGTTTTAGTCTTGCTCTATTGAGAAGTTTATGTATGATATTAGGTTGGTAACCATTATTGAAAGCAATTAGCTTAAAAGTACTAAGTTCTAAATTAAAGTTATCATTAGAAAGCGGAAATTTGAACAGCCTATAGATACTATTGAAAGCAGCCATTTTATGTTGGGTTGGATGGTTAGATGTTTCATGTATAATATGATCTGTTTGAGTAGGTTTTCTGTAAATATTGTAGTCTAGAGAATCTTCATTACGAGTTATATTCATATCCAAAAAATTCAACTTGTCAGATTCTGGTTTCAATGTAAAAGAAATGTTGGGATGGAGTTTATTAAGATCATCCAGAATCTGAATGGCACCATCTTGGGTTCCCTGTATAAGAGCTATGCAATCATCAACATATCTAGACAAAAAACTATTTTGTTGATGTTACTAACGAATTTCTGTTCTAAGCTGTCTAAGAAGATATTAGCTAAAAAGGTAATAATGGAGAACCCATCGCTAAATCTGTTGGTTGTTTGTATATTTTTTGATTGGATTAAAAGAAATCGTAATCAATAATAGAATTGCCAACAAAAACGGCACGTGCATACTTCACACGTCGCTTACAAAAATATTCCAATAGTCCAACAAATAGGCGTCACTTGTCAAGTTCTAGCCGCACAACACATTTCACTTACTATTGCTTGAATAATGCAGACTAAACAGTTAAAAAAACGCGGCGATGCCCCAGAAAAATCTCCTCTCTAACTCACAAGAGAGATCTCAAACGGCTTTAAAAAAAGTTTTCTCCAATAAATGCCAAAACCAATGGAAACAATCTCAAACAAAACTCTCCAACCGAGGTTAAGGAGCTATATGGGGTGCCAGAAATAATATATCGTTCAAATAAAAAACTACGCTGCTTTGCTAATAAAGAAAAAAAGGAGAATGTTAAAAATCGCTTGTCACTGCTAAAATCACTCTTTTTTAAAAAAAATCCAGATCATTCAATATTAAATCAAAAGATCTAAACAATGTTGTACATTGCTTTTAGCAGTAACATTGAAAGTGATGTAGTGTTATTATTACACACATAGTGGTACTATTAATATAATACCAATTTTATTTTAATATTATAAGTTACCTATATTATACACTAATAATTATATTGCCTAAAATTATCACCTATAGATAACGTTCTTTTATAACTAATGTTTTTATTATATATGTTTTAGCTTGTGTTGATATTCCAAACGTCAGCAACTTTCAATTAGTTTGGAAGAATTTGGACCCAGAGGATATTAAAGACCCGGCTATAAACTTACAAATTTTGAATTACGAATTAGCCCCAGAAGAATTTGGACAGTACATTGATATTATAATGGAATACTCAAGTAGCGAAGTGTTAGAAATATTGGCATCCAAGATTAACTCGGTCGAGATAGCATCATTAGTTCAAAAATGTTCTGAGAGTAATGGTTTAACACATGAGCAAATAACCAAACTAACCTGTATCTTACTTCAACATGGGCTTAAAATTGGAACAAACCTTATAGTGGCAGTATTTACTAACATGGGTTATTGTGATTTATTAAAGATATTGATGTTCATGGACTATAAAGAGAATTGGTCGCCGTTTGTTATAACTCCTAGATGTATATTTGATATTCATTGTGATATTCTAACTAAATATAACGAACTTCTTGCTAACGGCGAGGAGTGGATGAATGTGAGAAGATTTCAAGAAGATGTGATAAGTTCTTTTGGCTATTGGGCCCTACGACCTTTAATTAATGTGGCCTTAAATCAATTTGCAGATGCTAGTATGTTTCAAAGAAAAAACAATGAAATAATGATAGCCTACCGAGATTTACTTCCGAAAGTTCCTTCCTTATTGGAACTAGCTAGGGATGCAACTAGAAAACATATCGTTAATAGAATGGATATTAAAACTACTTGTCAGTATTTTACATGTATAAATAGTCTAGATATACCTAATGTATATAAAAAAATTTTGTTTTTTGAAAAGAAAATATATAATTATGGTTAGTTGCTTCTTTTAATTTTTACCCCATTTATGAGTGTAAATTTGATATTGGACAAATATTTAATCTGCATGACACCACCACCTCATAGAGGTTAGTAAAGTTAGCATAAAGTCATCACACGGTGAGATTTGCTCTGCGACTACTGCACTTCGTAATCCCGAGGTATAACACCATCATGCCCATCGGATGCATTGCATAGAAGAAGAGTGGTGGCAACCTCTTAAGGGATTATAGTCTTAGTAGGGTATAAGCGTACTGTAATGCCCGACGGCCTGTCATCCCAAGTCACGGGAATACAATTAACTAACACAAGGCAAAAAGACATGGCCAAGAACCGAGTGACTCTTCTGAGGTAACAAATAAAAATATAGAGGGAAGGAGCGGGCAGATGAATAAGGTCGCGGACTCTGTCTCTACCCCAAACAAGTCTCAGTGACTAATCAGGGTCCCGCAGGCGAACCTTTAGCACAGTAAGGTACTTTTTGTATAACTTAGTGTTGCTGTGGGAGGATTCGAGTCGCCTTGATACAAGAACCCTAGTAATACCAGGGCCACATAAAACGTCTATTGGGTATTGGCGGAAAGCTTATATATAACCGCTCGGCGGAAGACCAACAGATTTTTACGCAGTATACTGCAGTATGAACGAGCATGGACTCAAGACGGCCGAGGATACCGAGCGTGGCGTTCTAGACGTCACACCGGGACAAAATCGCCGATTAGACTTCTGGCTCTAAAAAACAGATTCAGTAGTACTCGAGCCATCGGAAACCAATAGTTTGAATAGGATGGAAGGATGTTTAGTATGCGTACTGTGTATCACCGAATATGACAGTTTCGCCTTCTTTCTCATCTCTCACATTGGGTGCTACCTCCCACAGCTGAACATCGGCTTAACCGTTTGCTCCGGTTTAAATAAAGAATTCTATGGGACCGTAAATGGAATCAGGTAGTCTTTAGCGACGAATCTGGTTCTATCTGCGGATGCATCTTATGGTATGCAGATGAGGAAGTAGTGAAGCTACTATATACTACTACTATATACTATACTATAAATAGCTATATTTCATACTTAAACACCATCCAAAACCCGATTTTTCAGCAAGACAATGTCAGACTGCATATTGTCAGAGAATCGTTAGCCTTTTTGGATCAGCATCAACTATTTACCTTGGTCACCAGATCACCTGATCTATCTCCAATTGAACATATTTGAGACATGCTACTTTGCAAGCTTCTGAAGTTGCAATACCCGGTATATACTTTAGCAACTTTTACTGATGAAGTAGCAGTAGCCTGGAATGAGATACTCCGACAGGGATATCGACAACCTCATCAAAACGACGCCCATGCGTGTCAATGACTGTATAGGAAATCTACATTATTGAGAACCAGCTTCTGCATTAAGCTGACAAAAAATATTAAAATCAGATAAATATATGTAGGCGTTTATCTCTTTTTCTCACTCCGTATGTATATATATATATACATATACATATATAAAGGTAAAAGGTATCAGCATAGCTCGCAACAAAGGAAAAAATATAATAAAATATGTGTATAAGATGGAAGGCCACCCTATATACGTATTTCTGACTATTGGTCGTCTGAGTACGGTGCAGCCAAGTTAGAAAAAAAGCATATTAACTTGGAAAAGGATCACTACAGGAGCAATGCAACCAATTTGTGGCAATAATGTTAGAAGACTCTGAGGTTTCTAAGAGCAACAACTAGCACGTAGCACATTAGAAAGATTTACCATCACCAAGTATCGTCTTTTAAGTCTTTTCAAAGAAAAAACAATATACAGTGTACTGTTACAGCAGGTACCACGCTATATTCATCATTTCTCATCAAAAAACCTAACGCAAATTTCCGCTTAAAATAAACAAAATAGAAAATGTGATGTCTTTGGCAGATAAATACGTACCTCCAATATATAACTGGTACTACGAACAAATACGAGTCACAAATCAAAATGAAGAACAACAAGGAGAAGAACTGGATAGTGACAGTGGCGAAGTTGAAACTGAAGATTTCTAGTTTTATATATCAGTTTACTTTGCCGAAAAGTTGTTTTTTAAATATTTATCACATTATTATGTATTTTTCCTGTTGTTTCTTTTATTTTTCTTGTTTTTTAGACTTGCTGTGAGCTAAAAAATAAAGTTATGTTTTTATTTTATGATAAATAAATGCTGAACGCAATAATGTTACTTTATTTGTGTATTGTTTGGAGGTTCGGTCAGAAAAAAACAGAAAACTCCCAAGACTTTAATTTTTTTTTGACGAAGTCTCAAACAATATTTTGTTATCAGTTTGGTATTAAGTTATTTTTCAATAGGGTTGAAACCAATACTTAATACTACCAATACTTAATTGGGTTTTTTCACAAAAATTCCTACAAATACCAATATTAGAAAGTTTTTATTGATTTTCCACACATTATAAAAATGGAGTTGACTAGTTTTTGCATCGAACCCTTCACTCCCAGGTGGACCGACGGCTTTACGTGCCATTCGAAGCATGGTGATCACCATGATTTTATATATCGCGGCTCATATCGATTTTAGAGATGAAAATCTCGCAGGGAATCGCAGAAAAATGTGGGTATCACCTTTCCGGCTGATACCACAGTCCTTCTCCTTCTTCGCAGCACGTTCGCAGGTTGAAGTCCACTCTTTCGAATGGTCCTTGTTTTTTTTGTATATACCAGTGGATCCATGTTTTGTTGACGGTCATTAAACAACGCAGAAACAGCGTTAAACACTACTCTAAAGTGGTCTCACGTTTGCGTTTGTTATCCGGTGTGAGCAAAAGCAGAACCAATCGCGCCGACAGCTTTCTCATGCCCAAAATTGTATGCAGAATATGACCTATGCACTTTTTTCAGATGCCTACTGTCTCAGCTATCTCGCGCATCTTCAGTCTGCCACTACGTTTTCGTGGATTTTTTCACATTATACTCCGTGGTAGTCGTTTTTGGAGCATCTAGGTGTGGGTTAAAAACCAACAAGCGACCACGTTAAAACTCGTTAAACCAATTTTTGAAGATCGCCATGGAAGGAGAAGAGTCGTCGTACACAGGATCCAAGCGCTCTTTGGTTTTGCTGTGTATGTTTCTTTTTAAAAACAAGAATCTTATCACCGACCGATATTGCTATATTTCCATTTTTCTAAAATCCGCGGACACGTCCGATTCCACACATAGTCAAAATAAAACTGCGATTCCAATTCTGCTAAAATTCTGACATTTTGTCTGCTTACGAGAATGTACTATTAGACACTTATCGAACCGCAGCTGTACATATATTATGATCATTTGCTAGCATCGCTGATGCATTCCAGATATTTAATTTTTTTTTTCATTAATTTTTAGTTTACTTTATTCCAAGTTTTGCTGTTTAACTTAGACTTTTTATAATTAGAATATATATGTGATAATGTTCTTTTCATTATTTTTAACATATTTTATATTGAATACAACTGAAGTAAGATGAAACCATGATACTATAAGAACAAGATATGCTCACTTCACTTGCTGTTCTAATTTTAATTGACTTTGCGCATGTCATCATAGCGAGACAAAGCCAGGGGACTTGTATGTATCATATTTTAATGATGTATCATATGGCAACGTTGTTCCATTACTGTAATGAACAACTTCAAAACTTAAACTGTTAACGGTAAAGGTCGATTCAGGCACATCAGTCCCTTCATAGTCTCGGCGCCGAACCGATCTTATTTGGTCACAGAACTATAACTGACCCATACCTATATATGAACTATATCTGACAGCTGGGAAACTGTTTGTCAACTGATAAGTGTGAATGCCGGCAACATTTTGTATTAAAGAATATTTTGTATGGCGGATTGTTCGGTTCGGCGCAATCACTGTGAGGAGACGTGACTGATGTGTCTGAATCGACCTTAAGTATATCTAGTTACTTTCTGTGAAAACGTGTTTTGAAAATTAATAAGTAATTTGTAAAATTAATTAAAGAAATATATAAATCTACGATTTGATTGTGTGTATTGCAAACAAAATAAATATTGCTACAAAACATAAATTAAATATAAACGGCCAGCAAAATGTAAAGAATTTGACCATAAAGGAAAAGCGGGTCATACTTGGGACTTATACATATCATTTATTTTACAATCTTTGTGATTTTTATTTTGCAGTATTGTAATTATCTAAAAAAAGTAATTTTACATCTTCGCTAACATTTACATATTTTGCAGCTTTTAATCAATTTTTTAAATAATCTTTTGTTATTTTTAGTGTATCGCCATTATAATTATGAAAAATATGTTCCAGTTCACTAAATACATCCAAAGTAACTTTTTTTAAAGACCTATCAAAAAAAAGTATTACTTCCAAGTTCTATTAAAATGGGCATTAGCATATATTATCATTATAGACTATAGAAACATTTGTTATGCTCTTATTAATATTAATATATTAATTCTCTGCTGTTAATAATATCAATTCTTTTTATTTATATAACTAGAATTGTATCAAATGAAAAATTTAAATTTAATTTTAAAGGATTTTAAAGTTTAACTTGCTGTCATTAATTTTGACAATTTGGCATTTTGGCAAGTTGCCTCGGGCTTACGTCACAAGAACATGCGCGTTGACTTGTTTTGTTTTACCTATGTATGTTTATGAAATAAATAGTTCAGTATTGAATAGTTTTATTTATCATCAAATTTGTGCTCTGACTACGTAAGTAAAACACGGATTTATAGATTTTATTTAGCAGAAATATTTACTTTGAGAGTAAACTGACATTTATTAATTTAATTATAAGACTAGCAAATGCATTCATTTCAAAAATAAATTTTATTTGCCATATAAAATGGATCATTAAGAATTTATAATTCTGAATGTCTTAGGTACTGTTAAAAATCTAATTATCTGCAATTTATTTACAAAAACAAAACGAAAATTTTTCGTTTTAAACTTTTTAATCTCAAATTAGGCTTATCTTCCCTA